ATTGCCGAGGAAGAGAGGGCAGCAAAATGACATCATTAAGAGTGCCAGTCAAACCTCTAACGATGGAAAACAGTGTTGAAAACATGATAGAAATATAGTGATTTTGTTTGTTTCATGTATTTGAGGAAGGTTACATCCTCCTCAGGCAGCAGATGAAAACATCAGATCAGTGTGCAGCAATATTGTTTTTGTTTTGGATGTGCAAGGTTACAGGGATTGTGATAAATACATCCCGCTGTTCTGGTTGGATGAAAAAGTAAACTTTTTAAAGACTTTTTAAGCCTTTTTTTGACTGCAACAGCTTGATAGAAAAGAAAAGGGGAAGAGAGAGATGGGACGGCATGCAGAAAAGGACCACAGGTTGGAATCAAACCTGGTCTCAAATTCTCAAATCAAAACAACAACAAAAGACAACACTTTTTGCAATATTCAAGCTTTTTTTTCATATTTTTCCATCCAGGATAAAAACAGGTGAATGGAAACACACTGTAAAGAAAATCTGCATCAGAAATACACCACCACTCTCTGCTAAAGAACATCTGTGCATATTCAACAGCAATATTTTAATTTAAGTTTCCAAGATAACAAAGATAACTCTCAGGAGCAGGATTATCCATCAGCAGGCAGTGAAAAAAAATATCTTCTAAAATAAACCCATTATGAATAATATTCCTCTGTGACTTACTCAAGTGCTTTAACAACTGAGGATCTTCTGTTAGCCGTCAAATTAATTCATTCACACTCTTCCTGGATTTCAGCCCAACATCACAAACAGTCTCTTCTTTCTCCATTTGCAATGGGAGAGGGAATCACTCTATTTGATCCTGACAGACTCATAAATGACTTTAGATTTCCCTCAGTCTAAAAGGCTTTTGTGGGTAAGATAATAAATTCAATACAGTTTTTAAAGAGCAGGAAGAAACCTTAATTGACAACAATTTGCAATCACTCTTTGTGGTTTAATTCAACCTACTAGGTATCAGATGGGTGTTTGCCATGAGGGACAACACAATTAATGCCTGAAAATTAAAAGAATTATCAAACAATGTTTGACTATTTGAAATTTAGGAAGTTTTTCTGTGATTGATGTCTACCTGGCACTATGGGAGTGAGTTAAATCCACCCATCTGGCAACCCTAAAACTCATTATTATGCAATTGATATGCCAAATTTCCAATCTACAAAAAGCTCCTTTATACTCTCTGTGGGCGTAAATCATCCACGGTGCTTCTGTCTTCTCTCTTCTGACAGTGTGTGTGGGTTCAAGGGATATTTGTACTCGCTGTCACAGGCTTTGATAATGTCTGCCTTCATCACAGGTTGCTTATTATCCACGGGACAGACTTTCGGAACAACTCCATCCAATGTCTGACGAGAAAATCTAACCAGATCAATAAGGCAGCGGCTCGATTACTTACTCATGTCAGTGTTCTGCATGGCAGCATGGATTTTCTCTTATTTTCATTTCCTTCACTAGTACAGTTTATTATAGTATGAGCACTAAAACTGACAAATGTTGTAAAAGGCTATTAGACAAGTCAAAAACACAACTGAATGCATTAATAAGTCATTAAAATGGAGTGTCAAATCTCAGTCTCTCCCTTTACCCACGTAATCAGTTGATAAAATAAATAAATTAGAAATAATTAAATTATTTCTCTCATTTTTAATCTCTCATTGGCTCATTTTATCTTCCAACTTCTTAGTTTTCTAGTCTTGGCACACACCATTATGTTCATCACTTTTCCAAATTTCCTAATGCTACGATAATGGCAGGGCAGCTGTGGCTCAGGATGTAGAGCCAGTTGTCCAGTGATCACAGGGTTTGAAGTTCGATCCCCACCTCCTCCTGTGCCAATTGCTCGCTGCCAGTGTGCATGTGCGTGAACGAGTGGCAAAAACCTCGTAAAGCGTGATGGATTGAACAGTGCGAGTCTGTTTGCATTAGTTTGCCAGCTATCAGTGTTCCAGTTAAGTCACACAATCTTTCACTAATTCATTGATTGAACAAAGTGAGCTAACTATAACCACTTTCAGGGTTGCTACTCTTAAAAAATCTTTTTCCCAAAGTTTTCTTGACAAAGCAGGACAGCAGAAACCATTCTAATTTACCAGTAGGCCTTGTATTGACACATTTCTCCCAGTTTTATTCCTCCCTTTAATGCTGCAGGGTTCATGATGAAGTGGCTCAGGTTCATCACAAGTATGTGGTCAGTATTTATGCAATCTCTGCTCAGCATCTGAAAAACTACTCTCTAAATGTCCAGGTTATTCAAGGGTTATTTTTATTTTTATTGTAGGATAACAGAATAAAGACTTATTTCCATGTTTTCTTCGACAAAAGAGGCACCTGAAGATAGAAACACTGTCTGTTACAGCAGCTAAAACTAATGCTCAAAAGGATTGTACAGCGGTATAGTAGGCTACATGGATGATTAACACTGCATGCACTTGCTGGTGTAGTTTAGATAGTTTCAGTAATCAATAACAAGCTGCAACAACCCTCTAAGTGACATTTTATTGCCCTATGAAGTTTTTAAATGCCAGAACTAACAACCAAAATGCATCATCCCTTAAGTTTTATTGGAACTGGATCAGTGGGTTTTATAAAAATTAATAATATCTTCAGTTTAGATTTGAAGATAGAAACATGGCTAGCCAATGTAGCTTGCTGGCTAAAATAGTTTTAGATGTTGTTACTGTTTAGCTAGTTAGCTGAAAAGGCTGGTGCTCAGCTGGAGGAAGCCTATGGAGGTTATTTATTGATGTATTCAGTTGTATCATTAACTTGTCTGATAACTTTTCAGACTTGTCAGTCTCATATTAAAGGACCAGTGTGTAAGCTTTAGTGACATCTAGTGGTGTAGTTGCAGATTGTTTCCCTTTCCAACTGCGAGGGAGAAACTATGGTGGATACGAAAAACACAAACGTCATATTTTGGTTTGTCCGCTCTGCGCTACTGTAGTATGGTCTTGTTTCATAATCATGCAGCTCTTCCCTTAACTTTCCCCTCATCATGCAAATCTGAAGGATTTCATCACACACACTCTTCTTTAACACTTTGCATTTTGATTTAAAGCACATGTCAGATCTATACAATTATCAAAATGCAATCACTTTTGGCTACAGAGGAGATTCATTCTTCAGTCAGGCGGCATCCATAAATACTGGAGGAAATATTTCACTTCTCTTGATTATTCAATTTGAATCTACGGAGCCGTTTCCAATCATGGAAATGAAGGGCATCAATGATGTGGTGATGCCCTCTATTTGAAAAGTTCCTCCCTGAGTTATGAAGGAATTTTTGCAATCACAAAAAGCCCAGCTGAACATTCATGTGCAGGTTTATAGCAGCCTATAGCAGTGCAGGTGTGTGGTATTTCTGGAGCTGACAGCCCATTATCCAGAAGAGTCAAGTGAAGGAGTCAAATCAGCTGCAAGTTTTTTTAAAGTGATCATTTTAGAGTCTCTGCTTGTGCTGCTGAATATTCATTCCATTACAGGGCACAAGTGTTATAAGTTAGGTTAGGACCCATGACTTTGGCGAGATTTACCTGTTGGGAATCGTTGAGGTGTTTTTAGTGTTCAGCCTCTTCACTTTGAATGTGTGTCTGCACAACCTGATTCAAGGGGAACTCCAAATTGATTCTATAGTAACAAGATCATTTTTAAATAGTTTATTAAAGACTTTCACAAAACTCCCATGACTCCCACCAGTAAGGTTAAGAGACTGTTGTAGTCATCTGACTATAAGCACAACTTATCTCAGCACAGGGCGTGGAATAAGTGTGGGAGCTCAAAACTGTGAATTATAACTAAATAGATGATCATGCCGTTCACTCTTGTAAAGTGCTCGTTAATTGCTTCCATGGTTCTTTAAAATGTATCTTCCTTTTTTCCGGGGTCCAGGAAGGAAACGCGGCTCTCACCTGGAGCTTTGTATGATTTGATGTGTTAGTTATCATTATTATTATAATTATTATTGTCATTAGTCTCATTAGGCGGTGTAGTAAAAAAAAAAAAAAAAGAGAAACGTACATTAATTTAAGGAACTTATTTCAAGTGTGGGGTGCAGCCTCTTGGCCATAACTGCTTCACAATGAAACCAATGTATTTGTCAGTTTAACAATAAAAGCATCCCTTATTTTGGCAGTTTAATGCTTTTAAATGTGAAGCAGCAGCAGTAGTAAATGCTGAGTTTGCATTAGTATTAACTTGATACAGCTTTGATGTGGCAGTAAGAGTGAATAGAGAACACTGAGGCTGATATGAGGACACATTATAAACACTTACACTGCATTACATGCATGAATCTTTTCCTGTTAGTTCCCTTCACACACAAGAGGGATTGTTATCCCATAGAAAAGTTACTGTCTACTCTAGAGTCATACTGTATAGACATTTTGAAGATCTTAAGGAATATGACTTTGGGAAAGAAAGGAAAGATGAAGCCTTTGGAAGTGAAATGTTCCACTTTTATCTCCATCTTTCATGGCTGCATGTGATGTTGAGGACTTTATAAAGACTTCTTCAGTCTGTTTTCTCATCTCAGAACGTGTTTAACTATGTAAATTATGTTTACTTGAAACAATGGCTCACTTACCCTGTTCTCCCCTACTGTGTTGCTGCACCAAGGCACTAAGAAGCTCCATCACACACTCTGCAATTACAGCAAAGACAGGCAATTAATTGTTCCAATAATCTTGTTTAATTGCTTTCTAATTAGCAGACAGTTATATTTTGCCCATGGCAGGGAGACGGTAAGTGTGTGTGTCAGTGAGCTTGAAAACATCACTAATGAGACCATCAGCTGAGATTGCTTTGGAGGCAGGCACATTCAGCATGACAATAATAGTAATAATAATAATAATTATTATAAAAATAATAATAATAATAATAAAAATAATAGTAGTTGTTATTATTATTTAACAATTTGTAGGTGCTTCACACATACCCAATAGTGGCGTGAACACACACTTTCAGAACTTCAGCTGCACACTCTCCTCTTTGTGGGGACGTTACTGATCTGTGCTGACTCAGTGGCAATTTTCCAGATGAACGCCTGGACTGTGATCAACGAGCCGACGTGACAGGTAGAACCAAACAAAAAAAGAATCAATCTTAAAGAAAGATACAGCCATTTCATTTATGATCAGTTGCCTTGATCAGACTGCTAATAATAATAATAATAATAAAGACAGCCTCGTAGGCCAATCGGTAACAAGCTGCACCATCCCTCTTAGTGACATTTTAGTGCCCCATTAACATTTTTGTGCATTTTTAAATGCCGGAACTAACAGCCAAAATGTATCATCCCTTCAAGTTTTATTGAAACTGGATCAGTGAGTCTCTGATATTAATAATGTCTTCATTTGGACACTTTATAACAATTTATAAAGAATGGCAGGATAAAAGATGTATTTCATCAACTGTCCATACAGTGTAAAAAAAATTGATTTTAAAAGCTGCAATGGTCCACCAAGGGCCGCCCATAAACGGGAGAAGGGGGGAAGCCATCTAGGGCCCAGCTGTTAGGGGAGGCCTGCAATGATAATAGTCCAGCTATTTCTGTGGACCACAAATGGGGGGGCAGGACTGGAAGGACCAGTTAGGAGGGGGGGACCTGGGGCAAAAATTGTGGTTCCTATTACCAGCCATATTTGTTTTGGTCTAATTTGAATAATTCCAGTCAGGTTTATATAGCAAGTAGATAATCGGCACCATTTTTGGTAATTAGTTATCATTTAAAAATTCACTTTTAAAGCAGAAATGAAAAAATAAACATTCTTGTACAATAAGTTGTTGTAAAAAGCTATGTTGTGATCTTGGAAATTCAAATTTCTACAAGCTAATTGCCACACAGTGAACCCTGGGGCCTCCGTGTCCCCTGAAGGTTCGTGGTCCTGGGGCAGTTGCCTGCTTTTTCCGAGGCGATAGTTCAGCCTTGCTAGAGGGCAGAAAGTCTCCAAAAACAAACACAGGTGACATACTGTCTGCTAATCAAGATATTAGATAACTTTTTAACATACAAAAATATTCTCTTTCATACAGCAGAGTAAAAGTATTTGTGTTTCTGGTCACCTGACATATTTGGTCTGGTTTTGGTCCGTAACTAATTTGTAACAGCAAATTCATTTTAAAAGCAACGTAGTGCTGCCTGGATTAAGTTTATTTTAATCAAAATTAGGAAACTTTAATTGAATAAGTGTTTTTACTGAATGTAACTGCAAATCATGCACTGAATTTAACTGGTTTTCAACCAAAACAATTAGCTGAAAGAGGCTAAAACTGCTGATTTAAAGTGGGTTCAGCTGTAGGAGGAACCAGTTTCACTTCACAGGAAGTCATTTGATTCATTGACATCTGACATGATAACACAGATTTAAAAATGGAAGGTAATGCAGATTTAAAATTGAAAACTTAATGATATCAACCCATGTAAGTTTGTTTTTTTTTAAATACCAGAGCACAATGCATCCTTCCCACATCGTGTCCAACAGTATCGGTGTATGAGACATCATGCTCGAAATAAAACTGCCTACAATTATAACAACCCCATTTGTCCAATCACTGACATTTTCAAATGCTGGAAGACAATGTGATGTTGAGTCATATTCCAGGTTTTGAGACTACTGTCAAACTCAAGATTGATTTGATTTAAGTGTGTGGACAGCTTCATTCAGTTCCTGTTTCCTCCTTTTTTTAAGGGGTTAATTAGTTATAAAGTTAAATTTGGCAACAGCAAGCACATGGTTTACTGGTGGGACCGGACAGGGTGGATCTAAATAGGTATGGTACATTTACTTAACTACAAATTTAAGGTACTTTCTGCTTCTACCAATTTCTACACGACATTTCAGAGGAAAATATTGCACTTTTTACTTCACCTTATTTAATTGACAGCTTAGTTACTTTACACATTAAGATTTTTGCAAACACAATCTGAGAGTTTATAAAGTATGAGACCAATAATGTTTTAGTATGTACAAGTACAGCTGAAATGATAGTCAATTAGTCAATGTCAAGGTGTCATGTGGGGCTCTGGGTAATTGTGGTGGCATTTCTCAAGCAATCAATAGATTAGAGAATATAATCAGCAGATTAATCCATAATGAAAATCATTAGCTGCAGTCCTGAACATTTAATAATGAGCTCACCTCAACCAACGACAACAGTAAAATTAGTCATAATAATCTAATGATATTATATAAAATAGTGTAACGGTCACAGGGAACATTTTTAAAATACTAAAAACTCAGCAGCATAGCCATTCAGACTTAATGGTTCTTGTTTCCTCATCCAAACTGCAGGCTTTGTTCAGATTTATAGGCAGTTAGGATGCTAAATAACACCATGAATATCACCTCCTGTTAGACCCATACATTAAAATAATGGAGTTGTTATTTCATTAAACACTTAGTCATCAATTTGGGATGAGCCTGACCAATAAATGTTTTTGAAAAAGAATATATTTAGTAACTCAATTGCCATTGTGCCACCATGGAAACATTGATTTAAAGTAGTTTTTATCTTGAACACGGCCAGCGTTTGTCTCGTCATTTCTCTTCCGTCTCTCTCGCTGCATTTGTATTCTCATCTCGTTCATTTTTCTGTTTTGTTCTCTTCTCCTCATAAGTCATTTTCATCTCAATTTTCACTCTCTCAGTTTCTGTACTTTCACTCTAAAAATCTCTTTCTCCCTCTTTATTGCCCTCGCAAACTTGATTTCACTCTGTCATTAACGGCAATGAATGTCCTTAAAGTGCAGTAATCATCAGTGACATTTTCCTTCATCGATTGTTCATGGTACAGATCGTCTAAAATGAATGATGAAATACATCAAGTATTGTTTGACTTATGTATGTCTTCTGCGCTCAGTGGGTTTTAATGGAACGATACTGAAAGTCATAAACTATTAGGGCCTGCATCTAATATGAAGTGTAAAAATCAGTCAGATATAATAAAACAATTCTCTATGTGCTTCTTCACTTCCAGCAGGTGACATTTTCAGTTACTGAATGCCAACACCTGATGTACTGACGAAGTGTATATGGGATCTTATTAATTATTGGAAAGTGGAAATAAAGGCAATCTTGCAAGATTACAAATATTCAATAATAAATAATGTAGTTGACAGTTTTAATGTCAGAGCACAGAAAGGTCTGAGGTCTATTTTTGTCACAAGGACACAATTGTGCATATTGGAGCACAGCAGATGATGTTTTGCTTAACACAAACATTCAGAGACCAATGTCTTTCCATTTACCTCTTGTTTCCATTGTTAAAAAAAACCTCAGATCTGTGATATTGAGGCGAGTGATCTTGCTAAGCAACAGCATGCATCGCTCTGGCTGATATTACCTAACAGCCAGCAGGTTTGCGTCACATTGGCAGGCTGATCGACTGGCCTCTGGCCCCACACTGCAGCTGTGTTTGAACATGTCGTCATGTGGGTACATCGCAAACGTAAACCTCATGGTGGCTCTAGAAGTCTGTCAAAATCGAGACAACTGCAGGCAGCAGGTAGTCGTTACACAAGCACAGGTCTTGCATGAATGGCCCTTAAGATCCGCCCTGATGCGGGTAACCTAGTGGAAAGGAGTTCTTTTAATATTCACTCAATATGGGTTTCAGTCAGAAAACAAAAAAGACAGCAAATACATTTTAAGATGGCCTAAAGAGTTCCTGGCTGACAATATCCACTAAAGTGAGGTCTGAACTGAGCTGAGGAAGGATCAGAGTGAGTGTCCAGTTTCCCACCTCTCTTATGCCTTAAAGAAAGGGTCATTATTTACAGTCATTATTTAAGAGTCAGTCCCCACACCCTGTGCAGCAGGTGCTCTGAATGATCCTGAATTTAGACATTCAGCTAAAAGGAATTGGGAAAAGGGAAATTAAACTAGTAGTACAAAAGAATGAGGGACTGCTACACTGTTGCCATGGAGTCAGCGAGTTAGCAGTGGGCTACAACTTAAATCATGTTTCCTTTAGCCTATACTTGTTTACATTTTGTCAACTTGGCACCATTAAAAGTCTGCTGAATTAGCCATTAGCAGCTCCTGTTTATAATGTACCCATGGATGTACAAGCAACTATCATTTTACTTTGATTCTGAAAAAAACTTTGAAAGTGATAATTCTCAGGAAAGTCCTGGTCATTCTCTCTAAGCAGATTTATGGACACAGCAGATAATGATATCAAGTCACATTAAATCTAAAAATATGTGTATCATGTATGTGTGTTCAGACTGAGCTATGACTCAGAAGTACCAATTTTCATGTAAATTGGGTCAATGAGAGGCTAAGGGGTTTTAAAGTACCTTAATTGCCTCCATGGGCTGTGTATCACAGCCACTGCTGTGATACTGCTGCTCAGCTGTCTGTCTGTTAATGTCAGCCAAATCAGTGGCCCACTTGGTTTTAAAACAGCGGCATGCATGTGTTTCTTCCACCTCACGCCTCTCCCTCTGCTGAAAACCTCAAGGATACATCCTCTGTGGATCATGAATGTCTACAATCTGTAGACAGCTGTTGAGAGAGATTGCTGCACCAAACTGGTGAAGAGACTGACAGAGCCATGCTGTAAAAAAACATATCTACCACGACTACTTACCTGCAACTTGTGTTTTTGGTTTGCAAATGTGGTAGATCTATTCAAACTGATACAGGCAACCAAGAGGCATTCTTTATTTCCTAAGGGCTCCAATGTTTTGCGGCAAGGACAGCATTCTGTTGATGAAACAGCACTGCAATGTTCACAACCCCCAAATTTTGTTGCACTTTTAAGACTTAAGTCTTAAAAAAGTCTGCAAAAACATCACAAACCCTAGAAATCCACAAATTTCCACAAAATTAGTGAGGACATGTGCTTGGTGTTGTCAGTGGTAACGTGGCCTTGAATACTGTCTCTTGCATCTTTAAAAAACTCAGAGCTGCATTGATCAAAGCTTGCTGACGCTTCAGATTAGCATGAAGTGAGAATCAAACTGAACAGAAACACCTGAACCAAAATCTCTATGCAGGTGCCTAATGAATAAAAATAAACACTAGTATATTGTCTACATGTAAACAAACATGAAGAGGAATTTTTACCTCCTCCATTTGGTTATTTGAGAAGAGAGCTTGACATTTGTTTTTCTCTGGGATAAATAATTCCCTCAGCAGTCTTGGTCGGTGAAGTCTAAATAAGTCTGTTGATAACGGTGTTCCACAGCAGGAAGTGATGTCTCGAGCCAGATCATTTTGTGAATGTTGAAAGGCTGTCTGGTCTGTTCCCATTTAAAAACACTGCAGGAGAAACGGAAAAACACCAGATTAGAGAATGAGTTTGTGTTAGTCCTTCCAAAGAGTCAGCACATGACTCAGACATGACAGATGAGATAAGTCAGAGACGCCGTCCTGTGTCCTGGAGGTCAACGCACTTGGTTTCATTTTTGTGAATTAGTGGTAAACATGCAAATCGTACTCCAAGGTACACATGAAAGCACTTGTTTGGAGCCCCTGCAGTACACTAGGAATGGATTGGGTGTGATGAGCCTGATTTCAATCATGTCCATTTAAATCAGCCTGTCTACTTCCCTCTAAAGGGAAAGAGGGATGCTGTGTGCTTCACTGGGCTCTGACAGTTTGGTGATAGAAGAGAACAGTCTGGAGGAAACTGGCGTCAAGACTTCAAGTACAAATGGGTGTCATTATGCAGAAGGTTTAGAGTTGCGGGGAGTTCATACAGCACCCTATTAAAGATTAAATTAAATTAATCTGGGGGGGAGAAAACACTTTGGTCAACTGATGGCCCGGTGTAGGAAGTGATAATCGATGATGTTCAAAGCCAAACAGACTTTGGCACCTTTCTGATATCAGATGATGTGACAGAAGCAGTACTGTGCAATGTTTGTGCAAAGATCATTACTATCAGCCCTATCAGCTCTTCTCCCACAGGTTGAGTTCACACTGACTTGCAAAACATTAACTAGGCTGCAGGTGAGAAAGCAAACAGGTAAACTGGACTCGCATTGTAAAGTACTGAATATAGAGGTCAATGTCACCATCATGTGTCATGACTTCTACCTGCTTGCTGAGTTGTTTTTTGAGAGACAACTAGAGCACAACTGTAACCCTCCAATAAAAGTGTGTTGTTTCTTGTAACTTAAATAACCCAATGTATACTTCATCTATCTTCATGCAAACCCCGGTCTTCTGGTTGAAAGGCTTTAACCTCTTGGTGACAACTCCAGGAAGTCACTGCACCAGGCAAGAAATAGTCTGGCACAGAACCCACCCTGGAACAACTTGCTGTTTTTGTACAAATTAAACAAATGGGATATTACCTGTTATTCGGTCAGTTCTTCGTAGGTGTGTTTTGTTAGACAGAGCTAAGCTAGTTGTTTCTCTGCTTCCAGTCTTCAGAAGCTAACTATCTCCTGCTCTAACTTTATATTTAGTGTGCAGACGTGAGAGTGGTATCTTGGTCTTTTTTTTGTGATTCTGACTTTGTTTCTGACTTTTCCTCAGGTCTCATTGTGGGATCCTTGATGGTGTTCTGGCTTCCCAACCAGATTCGTCGTCTTATGACTGCTGCCGTGCCCAAGTCACACTGGACTATTTCCTTCTTCCGGACCTACGCCACTCTCCACCCTGTGGCCGACACCTTCTTTTACCTCAGCTCTGTCCTCAACCCGTTCCTCTACAACCTGTCCTCCCGACAGTTCAGGGATGTTTTTGTCCAGGTGCTGCGGTGCCACCTCACCATCGAACACATCAACAAGCGGACCGTGCGTAACTCCCACGCCGCCTCTGCGCGGTCCTTCCAGCCGCTACTGATTAGGTCATTGCGTCGCAACAAGGCTAACCAATCCACCATTGCACAAGAGAAAACCCCTCCATCCTTTACAACCTTTCAGCAAAGTGACTCTGGAATAGCTTCTGATACTCAAATGTCTCTCAGCCTGACTGAAGAGTCGGATTCAAATCTCAAAAGAAAAACAGGTGTACAATCAGAGACTGAAGTATAATGTGCTGTACAATTTAATGCAACACAGTGAAAACATACCAAGGATGCTTGTGCTGTGCCATCAGAAACAAATACAGAGATATTCCTTATACACAGAAAACACAGTACAAAGTAGGTCAGAAATTTCACTGACAGATCAAGCTCAGCTGAAAATTTGGCACAATAGCAAGTTTGATGGGACTCCCCAAAAGAGACATTTAATGGAATATGAATTGTCAAGTCAGAAAATTATTACACAAAGCTCAAATGTTCAGTTAAGCATGAAGACCCCACAGCTTGAGTTAAAGTTAAAGGTACCCAGTGGAGTATTTGACCACTAGCAGTGCTACGGAGCACTGTTTTAATCTACTTCTTGTGCTTTAGTTCTGCAGAGGGCAGAACGGCATATGTGTAGTACAACAGCACTGAGCCGGAAGGCGATTTTGGAGTGGCGGCCTCAGTTGGAACAACAGGTCATTTGACATGCACTGGCCCAAAAGGACATTAATTACAAAAAGGAATGGTAACTGTATAAGCATCACAAACGCCCTCAAATAACTTTGTAGTTTCAGATCTTCTGTCTTTATCTGTGCCTCGAGTGAATAACTAATCAGATTTCCAGATGACGTAAATGTTCCCATGTACAAGAGGTTGATGTTAACTGACATATCAAATAAAGTATTAGTCGTGTGCTGCCTCTTGTTGTCGGAGAGTTCGTGTGTTAGACACTTGACTGAGGGACAATATGACTGAATAATGAATAAGTTCTCTAAATCAGACATCGGTTGTTCATGCCCTGTGGTCTATGTAATGACACATAGACGCATTTTCTTTTCTGACACATCCCATCATTTGTCAGCGCCTTTCAAAACTGTTCCAAATCACTGTTATAAAAATAAATCAGTTTCATGATGTGACAGCACTATGGTTACGGTTTGGTTGGTTTAGACAGAAAATATCATGTTTTTGATTAAAAATAAACACTCTGTTAAGGTTGGGGTACATTGTGGATCTTTTTCGACGTGGTTACAGTAATAAACATGTAGTTAAGGTTAGAAATGATCACGATCATGGTTGAAAGAAACCAACATTTCTTAAAATGGGGAACAACAGTCGATCTCAGTCAGTCAGATGTTTTGTACGTCAAAACGTACCCAGACTTCCTTGTTTACTCATTACAGCTGCTAGAGGGCGCTGTCACTTAAACGTATAGTAGGTATTCAGTTCTGCTAATATTTATCCCTGACATACAAGCTATATGGCGTCTCTCGGCTTCATGCTGTTCCACTCACTGACAGCAGGTGGCACTAAAGCCACAAAAAGCTTAGCAATGCATGAGCAAAGATAGGGGAGAAGAGGACTGCTAGCTGGTGTAAACATGGATGTAAGCAATGCGGGTCCCAAAATCTAAAAAACAAAATCTTTTGCAAAAGTTTTATAAGGAAGAAAAAAATAATTCAATCTGTATGTTAGACTTCAAGGGCACCTACAATGCTGTTTTGTGAATAACTCAGACGTTTAACATTTCTGTAAGTAAACTCCACAGGGAATTTTTAAGATTCAGGTCAAACCTCCAAACTAAGAACTCTTAAAGCAACTGAATATCACATTTTTATAGACATCACCAACTTCTTGAAAGTTTAGCTCCTCACATTACTTTGTCATAATATATTTTGCTCTGATATAATCTCTGTCAACATACGCATACCGATGCTATACCATACAACATACTCCCTGATCATAGGTAAGTAGCATTACTCAAAGGATAACTTTAGAACTGCTTTCAGAGCCATAAAGTCTCTTTCTACAGTGACTGTTGGTGAAACTCGTTGGCGCAGTCCACACGCTGCACTGCTGCTGTTCCACCTCAATGCTAACTTTAGTCATCAGAGATACAATGAAGATCGGTTAGTCTGAAACAGGTTTGTGTATTTCAACATGCTCTACTTTTTTTTGTGAGCAGACAGCAATTATAGAAATAGTGGAGGAAAGTTTCAGGATAAAAGCTTAACTTTTTAATGGCTTCCACTGTGTGTCATTGGCTGTCCCTGTGATACAATGATATTGTACCTGTGAAAGGCTTTAGGGCTGTATAGCTGTCTTTAATATTATCAGTGGCACATATATCTTTCTTGATCCAATACCTTTTTTCCTGACTGCACTTTTCTCCCCAGACTCCTTTTAACAATACCATTGTCAATAACATTGTCTTTTTCAGTTCAGAAATACAGCAAAATGATTGTTCCAGGTAACAGTATTGATTTAGAATAAACCAGAGTTATTTATTCTGGAGAGCTTGGGCTCAAAAAATAAATGATGGATCTGAACTTACTATCTTTCCTGTCTCATTTTGACCTTGTAGTGTGAGTAAATAAGACAGATGAGAGCGAGCCACCTGCTGCCCAACGAAATAGCCAGAAGCTGTTTCATCCACGGCACTGTCCTCCACCTCACCTTTCCCAGCTCCCCTTGAAGCTGCATCATGATCATGTTTGTGACATGACACATGTGACGATAAGATGTTCCCAGTGGTGTGTGTGTGTGGGGGGGGGGTTTGAAGGCAAGCTGCGACAGAAAGCCAGGGAGTCAAGAGAACAAATATTGTACAAAGCTTTCACACGCCTTAAAGAATAATACATTTATGAATTCGTCACTGTCTCAGTTATTACAGTTCCAGTTCATGTTGTCTCCACTGTCAGTAGTTTCAATACACATCGTAACTCAGTGTGAAGGTCTGTCAGCACAGGGTGGAGGACAGTAGGAGGAGGATGTAGAGAGAAAACAGGGAGGGGAGCTGCGGCGTGGTCAGAGTAATGGCAGCCGACGGTTGGGGTCGTTTCTTCTGGCGTGGTCCATTACACAGTGGTGTGTTACAGCAGGTGATGCACACCGAGTTGAGTTTGCCGGTGCAGAACTGCTGGTAGCCAGAAGAAGCGATGAGACAGGCTCCTGACGAGGCGCAGGACTTGCGGTAGTGTATCCCTGAAGTAAGCACAGAAATGGACGCATTAGTCTCATAATTAGAGGATTAGGGAGTGTGAGAGAGGGAACAAAGACAGAAACAATGAGATTGGGGCGAGTAATTAAAAATAAATAGGATCTATTCTTTCATCAAGGGGAAACCAACTTAAAGGGAAACATCTCAACATCTGTGTATAAATGGACTAATGCTCATTTTGCCGTCACAACACTTTGTGTCCTCCGTCTATAAGATTTGCATAAAATTGTCACTGTCAGTGTCCAGTGTAATAGTCCATGAATGAGGAAAACTGCAGCCTTTCTTGCTTTTTATCCATTGCGCTCAGTGGGTGTGACTTCTTAACACTGTTTATATACATATCCAAAGGACCTTTAAAGATAACCATTATCCCAGTAGAGCCTGCAATGACAACTAGCAGCACAGTGAGTTTTAGTAGTTCCAGCATGGACCTCACAATGACTTCTCAATGGGAGTGAGAGTGGCACTTAGAAGCGCTTTCAAAGACGGGCTGAAGGAGAACAAAATACTCTAGCAGAGAAATACATTAGACGGCTACAAGCCAGAGAAACTGCAGCATGGGAAATACTGAGGTAGCAGTGTGAGAGACGCCAGCAGTCAATCAACCAGCAGCAGAACTGCTAACCTAAAATACATAGCTGTCAGCTGCACAGGTAGCAGGTTTCTCCCCATATGAACTGTCACAACATTGGACCTTCCAGTGTTTTACTCTGTTATAGCACACGATGTGTACTCACAGGCATAAATAATGTAACGTAAAAATACATGTAAGGGAATCGAATATAAGAATAACACCTGCATCATATCCATGTTGTTCTCAATTTAACAGGGAAAACTGTTTTAAAATCCAGCATTTTAATTGTAGCAGTAGTTTAACAGAAGCTTAGAAAGGAGTTTAAATTCTCTAAAGACATTTGATTAGGACAACAGCTCCCACAAGACACCAGGCACCTACGAAGATGGTAGTGCACCTTTTTTTTATTTTTCACAGCTGACATTTTGACATGTTACTGCACAGAAGGCACAGGTGAAATAACATTAATGATTGCAGTTGGTGGTGGAGGTGGTGAGCAGCAGGTGAACAGAACCTTAACAAGTGTCAGTGGTAACACCTGTGCTTACCCTATTATTTCATGACAAAATGGCTGCTGTGAAAAATAGGGCTGCCCCTTATAGTCTAACTGCTTCTCCCCCACAAAAATTGTTAATTGCCTCCTTTCTCCCCAAAGTTCAGATTTACAATTCACATTCCTTACTGCTTTTACGTGTTACCATTTAACTGGCCGCTGTTATGTATATTTATATTAAAAATGTATATTTAAATAGTTAAATTAATATTATAATTATGCAACAACTAGTCGACTATTGAATATTGGCGACGAGGAAACTCTTTAGTTGGGGGCAGCCCTAGTGAAAAAGGTCTATTATATCATGTCAAGATACACTTATGTCTGTTTTCCTTTTCCCGCACAATGACGTCCTTCAAAATAAAACACAGAAGTGGTGTAACCTATGAGCACTCTTACAACTCTGATAATAATCCAATAATCTGATCCTGACAGAAGCAGGCATCATCATCCCTGCAGGGACGCCCGTTCCAAACGTTGTACAGTTGTTGGTAATGAGCTGATGCGTTTTATGACTGGAGATACAAAAGATTAGCCTCAGGAGTTTATATTCTGGGCTTCATGGTTTCTAGTGGTTAGACTTATTTGCATTCCCTTCAGACACTTTATTAACTCAGTATCTTGCAGTCTGTCTCAAGCATATCATGCTTGATTCAGAGTTATCAGCAACCACTATAGCTATCTATCAATTTCCAATCAGTTCCTGAGTTGATCCTTACACATTCATTTGTAAACCTTTTTAGATCATGTATTGTGCAGCCATCTGTGCCCATGAAGAGCTCCAACACCTCGGGGCTTAGTTTTTGTGAATAAAAATTTAATGATTGAAAGTTTTCCCCTGACACCAACCGAGCTCTGTCCTATTTACAGTAAATCTGTGCACACATGAAAGTGAGGGTTCTGTGCATTTTGGTGAAAATCCCCAAACACTCCAAAAACTATATTTAGAGACATTTCCAGTGAGTGCATTTAATTTTTCAAAGCTCCTCTGAAAAGCATCCGTCTTGACTTATCTCCACCAGCTATAATCCTCATCACAATGAAGTTTGGTTAGGGAGCCGAAGAATTAAAGAGGAGACCCTCAGCTGTGACCAGTTCAAGTGACAGAATTTCTTTTTTTATTTTATTTTGCACTATATAAAGCATTTATTTACCTTTTTAAAATCTTGTTGGAACATGTCAAAGTTGTTTGTGAGAGTGAGGACTTAACATTTCACTTCAAAGAAATTTAGATATGAGCACATGAACTTCCAATAACCTTTTGTAACGTGTTACTCCTCTCTCCACCCAAGTGCAGCAGATACACCCTAAGAACTGCATGTTCATTTAATTTGTGCATCCTCCCATGTCTTACATACTGCAAATATCAGTGGAGGTCCCAGAAGGTGTTGAGTAATCCAGAGGAAACACAGTGTGAAATGTTGCAAAGCCTGGAGATTAAAACCTGACTCACACTGTGTTTATATCTCTCATTTTAGCTGTCTTAAAGGACAGCAGACACTTCCACTCAAACCTTTAAAAGGTCGATGATATTCAATTCAAGAGGAAACCCATGGGACAAATATGTGAAATAACTCAAAGTAAGAAAATCCAGATCGTAAATGGCTGCATAATCTGTTGGTTTTTATCTCAAGGCATAATTGGAAAATAGCGAGAGCCGATAACACGGGCAGTCAGTGGAAAATGAGGTGTAGTAAAAGTGGGAAGTGTCACTGACAGAGAATACAGATTTGATGGCTTTTCTCCCCTCAAACAATCACTTACCAATCACATGGGCTATTTATTAGTGTGCTCACCCTCAGCGATGCACACACATTTTCAACTTCTTCAAAGTCATTAATACTTTCAACTAGAAACTTAATTTAAAACTTTTAAACTTTAAACCAGTCACCACTCCTTGTGTTTTATCATATTAGTTCAGCGTATATAGTTCAGCTTCAGAAGTTTTCTACCTTTCATAGTTTTTGAGTAATTGGACTTTACTTTTTTTCCCCCAGACTTTCTCAGGTTATTATGTTAGTGTGTTTTGTGCAAAATGTTCAAATGTTTTAAGTGCACACAAACTGTCTCTGACATATCAACTGATGCTATATTACATATTCATCCAATGCTACATCTGACCATTTAAAATGCAACTACACCCCTCAGTTCTGCTCCCCTCAGTTCTGCTCCCTCTCAGCAAATTTTAAAAATGCATCAGAGACTAGCAAAGGACAGTGACTTTAGGGGTGTGGCCTCAACACCGACCAGAGTGATCATCATCAGGGGAAATAATGTCCGGGCGCTTCTACAGCTTCTAAAGCACAAGTCCAAACCATTGTGCCAAAATAGAAAAATACTAAGTAGAGGGTTTACAAAAACTAGCATAAACTCCTGTGAATGATGCATCTCGATCAGGATACATTTGAAAGGGAGCAGCTCGGGTTCACAGTGATTTAAAACAGTAGATGACGTGTTTTCATAACTCCGGTATGGATGTCAATATTAACACCAGAATTTGTATTTCATCACATAACAGTCATTAAATTATTTTACAGCTCAACACGTTTTAAGAGTGGAGTACCTCTTAAACAAGATTTTAAAATTATGTTCAATTCTTTAAAATTTGTTGTAAAGTAATTGATCTCTGATAGTTTACTTTTAATTTGAATAGGGATGCTCGATAATTATCGGGACACATAAATTATCGTCCTGTAATAGGAAATTAATCGTATTTCTTTTATCAGTTGATAATAGTTATAATAATTTATTTGGTATTCCTATGCAAAATGATTGATAGACTTTATGTTCTATGACAGCCCAAATGTGTTTGAAGTTTTATGATGAACTTTACAAGAAAAACATTAGAAGATTCAGAACTGTTGTTCATTTATTGTTGTGTTAACAATAGTGATGTCAGTTAGATTTGGTTAGAACAGAGCTATGACACATTAAATCATCAATCTTTGCTCACTACATCTCAGCCTTTCTCACCCTCAGGTGTGTAAAAACTACAGGTTATGAACTTCTTTTTAAAACACAAAAATGCAAAATCTTCAGTTATCTTATTGGTATCGGCCATAAAAATCTGGTAATTACTGGATATTATACTGGTTGAAAATAAATCCATATTGTGCATCCCTAAATTCTGATTATAATGTCCCCCTCCTCCAAAGGATATACACTAAAAATAACACTGTACCACCAATGTGAAACTTTCACAGCACAGCCACAGATAGACTGTAGCTGTCGCGGCAGATTCATGTGTCAAGACAGTGCAGCACTTTAAATACAATGCTAGAACTGTGAGAAGGAGCTCAGGCAACACCTCACCCCGCTGCTGTTGGAGCACTTCATACCAACTGAGGAGAACACACTCATACAACATTGCAGCATATTTATTTTAGTTATTGCAGGTTTTTCCGACATCCTAATTAATGGAAAGGTTAACGTTTTGAAAAAAAAAAGTCTATTACAGGTCACAGAAGGTTCTTTTACAACTCAATAATTATTACATTATAATTGTCTAATATATGATTAATTACTTTGAGATACATTGCAAGGTGGAGCTGTTCTAATTTAAATTCAGGACAAATACACACAAACATCATACACTCTGATACATGGTGATTAAATTCCATATGTGTCTATTATGAACATTGAGAATAGACGCAGTGCTCTACCACATTTATTGAGCAAATATCATCATAATGAATCTGAGACAGCACAACAGGGGAAACACTCACTTTATAATGTTTGAAGCGCTTGAGGGCGATTTAATTTCATTTGTGCGTGGGAATTCTGAGATTCAGCACTTCAATCTAAATTATGCTGTTGAGTTAATTTATGGGGAAAAGGGCGAAATTTCTTATCAAGTT